GATATTTATCATTGAATTAAAAAACAATGCTTGCATCCAATCACCGTTAGTATAGTGGGTAGAACAGTCTTCTGGCTATTGCCTAGGTGTGGATCGACTCCCACTCTATCCTGTTTTTTTTCTTTACCATATTCTGCATAAAATAAACATACGTTTCCTCGTTTTCATGAGACTATTTTTAATTAATTCCCTCCCTTGGACAACTTATTCTTAATTTTCTAGATGTACATGTCCAAGCGGACAATATTTTCTGGTTGCCTCTGTCCCCGAGACAACTTATCCTTAATTTTCTAGGTATATATGTCCAGGGTAACTATGCCGTCTACTTACATTTGTCCAGAGATTGTAAAAACTGGGCAGGATAGTCCCATTCCATTTGTAGTGTATACATTTTAAATAACTTATATTAGAAAATGTGAGTATATTGTCATGCATAATTGCACTCGATTCACTGACTTGAATCATTACTAGAGATATAGCACCACGTAAATCATCACGCCCGTTTGATTTTTGTTTGTGAAATAATTATAAAATTAAATTCCCATGATTTTGGGTGACAGCAGTACTACATGAACGGTCTTGTATGTCAATAATTATCAATTATACAGGGACTTCATTTATATACATGTCCATGGACATTTATAACCAGAAAATATGGTCCGGTGTGACTAGTAAGAGACCCTAATTTGGTATTTAAAGTCCACCTCGGACACCCAGTTCTAGTAAACGGACTCAAATATCTTAGTAAATATAGTCCATCGTTCTTGTTATTCTAGATAATATAGTCCTGGACAATATTTTCCAGGACTTTTCCAGGTCTAAGGGACCATATTTAGTACGGCCCATATGCGTGTTATGCGTTTCCTATTGTGCTAAATACTGAAATATGAACTGAGGTTTTTACAAATAAAGTTAATAAAAGACTATCTTGAGTAGGTGATAAACTAAAGCGCAAACACCATCGATCATTTGTTTTTAACACGAATGTCAGACATTGCAAACGGTTGAATTCGACAAACCAAAATGGCGGAATAGGTAAGTTTGAATTACAGGAAAGTAATCATTGTTACAAGCAATCAGACCATTATCTATTTGTAATATGTAAAGCATTCCTCGAAATGTTAAAGGGATGACGTAACTTCTAGGCAAACAAAAATGAGGGGTAAGTAAATTAATAAAGGTGCCGCCCAACTAATAGTTGTAATCTGCTACTGTGATAAGTTTTCTACAACATTTGAGTATGTTGTCTCTAGTCTCCAACTTAACAGTACAATAAGTGTTTATCATATTAAAATTGTCCACGCCTATTTTCTAGACATGACTTTAGTTCGAGATCGCTTTGTTTTTAATTAGGTTACTATGTCACGTAAGTCGTATTACGAGATTTGCTTTGTTTTCTAATATGTAAGGAATCCATTACTTAAATTGCGTTTTTTGAATTGGCCGCGATGGTGGTGCATTGCGTTATAGGAAATGAGATTTCCACGAGGTATCAAAAAAGAACAAAAAGCCCCGGAGCGCAAATCAGTACATGGTCGCATGTTTTTTTAACAAAAAACTCATCCGAGCGCACTAACACTCACATAATTCTTTTGTGAGACATCACGGTTTATTGCTATCGAACTATGTGCAGATGTGGTGCACTAGCAACAAGACGACGCGGTTGACATACGCTGATACCCGACAAGTTTGACACATCCGATCGTAATAAGCGGTGTAAGTGCGCTTGGATGAACTGCTTTTGTTGAAAACGTATGAGCATGTAATTTGCAATGCATGGGCTCGTTCGTTCTTTTTCGTGATACCTAGGGGGAATACTTATTGTATTTTTTTGCAATGCACTCGCCCGCGGGTAGTTCAAAAACGCTGCCTTAAGGTGAACTTTGCATCTCAATCCTGATGGTCAAGCTGGAAAAGTGTCATTGCGAATGACGAAAAGGACCTTCGGAAACCAATAAACCAACGATTTCGCTTATAAACCAAAATGAGTGTATATCAAACAAACTTGTTCGAATGGTACAACATCTAGGTCTTCACAAGATAACTAACTACAGAACTACACGAAGTTTACGAGTAACCTTTGAAGCGTTGTAAATCATGATACGAACACGATCAAGTTGAAGTGCGATCAGAGGTGATCAATAGATGAATACTCTTTTTAAGAGATAAGTTGTTATATACAAAACCCGTTACGCAAATTAAGTTTAAAAAAGTAACTTGTGATATATTCGATGTCTTAAAATGCATGGTAGTGTCCCCAAAATTCTATGTTCAAAAATCCAATGGCTTCCTTATTCATCCGTTATCCATTTCGATTCAATTCCATAATTCTTCAAATTAGATTTTGTTAGAATGTTAAGTTGATTCTTTTTATATTCTGTAAAAGATAACATGTGACCTGCAATGAGCTATCCCGGAACAGTATTGCAAGTTCAGACATGAATGATGCTTCAACAACAATGGAGTGGAGACGGTCGATAACAGATGCAAAATGATATAGAAGCAGTGGACCATCGCGGTAACTCAATAAACTGACATGGCGGATGTACCAACCAAGAATGATGATCGACACAAGGAGGAAGTAGCGAGTGGACGTGATGAGTCTGAGGGAACACTCGAGATATCTGGTAATGTATTTAATAGAGCAAAAGACAGCCTTTGTTATTTTCATATTTTGTGTGGAAGGGATTTAGCACTGAACTCAATGTTTTGTTTGTAACATAGGCCTTTATCACTTGTGCATTTCCCTTCCTAAACCTCTTCGGTCCTGCTTTCAAGAACAATCAATTTGTATTTGTATTTTACAAGAAAGCATTGTGTTCAGTGCCGTGTAAAAGGGCAGGAGATCCTATTGATTTATGGTCCTACTCTCCATTGATTTATATGGTGACCTCCTTCCCTTATTATCTTATACACAATCAGGGCCAGTAAGGGCCTTTAAAAAGGGGACCATAATCCATTGGGGACCATAATTTAGTTCACACCAGGTTCAGTGCTTAA